CATGAATTTCTGACTTGAGATGGTCCCAACTTCCATAGCTTTATCTCAGTGTACCCCACTGTAAGCAGAGAAACAGCCGTGTGTGTTCCCACCATCACATGAGCGCCGTTAGTCCAGTATAGTCCTGCTGTGTGGCCCTCTGTGATAGCTGACATGTGAAATAACAGCAGTGGACTGAACCCTATTTTATTTAGTTCAGCTTATCCAAAATATTATTTTCAAACATGCAATCAATGTAAAAAAATTCCTGCTCCTTCCGTCTTCCCTCCCTGCTCCTCAGCGCTGAGGACTGAACCCGGGGCGCCCCGCACGTGGGGCACACTCTGCCCCTGAGCCCAGGCTCTGGACGTTATCATGAGGCAGGGTGTCACTGCGGTGCCTAGGCCAGCCTCGAACCCATGATCCTCCTGCCTCAGTCTCCTGCGTGTCGTCCTCCTCGGGCTCTCGTGTAGCCTCGCCCAGACCTTCAGGATCCCTCTCCCACACCTGTCTGCCGCCGTGTCCTCCCTGACCTCTTCCTCCCCGGTCTCCTCGTCCCCAGGACAAGCTCACTGTCCTTAGTGGCGCAGGCCTGGGGCCCCTCTGGGCTTTGCTTCCTTCCACTCCATCCCCATTTGGCCCCGACCTCCCATCTTTGTGCACTTGGGTCCTCCTCATCTCTTTTTCCCTCTCCTGGCCCCTCAGTCTGGTTTTCCAAGACCGTCTCCTCCCCATCAGGCCTTTGTGCAGGTACCGCCTCCTCCAGGAAGTCCTCCCTGACTTCCCCTTGGCTGCTCCAGCCTCCCCCATGAGCCCCTCTGTGTCTGTGGTGGTATAATGGGTTGAACCCAGGGCCTTCACACTGAGCCACACCCCCAGACCTTTTAAAATCCTTTGAGAAGAGTTCTTGCTAAGTCACCAAGTTGCCCAGGCCGGAGTCCAACTTGCGACCCTCCTGCCTCAGCCTGCCAAGTGCTGGGGTCACAGGTACGCACCACCACGCCCTGCGTGCCCACAGGCTGTGTTCCTGACCATCGCCTGGCTTTCCTGGTCTGGGGGGTGAGGAGAAGGCAGGGAGTCCCCCTGCGCACGTTCAGGGCAAAATCAAGGAAACACCCCGTCCTCAAAGCCGGCCCCTCCTCCTCCAGAGAAGCTCGAGGTGGGACCCCAGTGCCCGCCCAGGGCAGCCTCCAGCCGGCGTTGAGTGGCCCGGCCCGAAAGAGAAGTTGGCTGAGACATGGAGCAGTTGCCAAATCTGCGGTTTGGGGAATTTGCTGGGTCAACAGGGCCAGAAGAGGAAGTGGGAGGGGGAGAGCAGACGATGAGTGGGCGGATGAGGCCCAGGCCTGGCCTCCAGCTCCTGTACCTCATCAGCCGTCTGCTCTTCGTTTATTTGTTTGAGAGGGTCTCGCTTTGTAGTCCAGTCTGGATGTGAACTCATGGAGACCCTCCTGCCTCAACCTCCCATGTGCCAGGATCATGGATGTGTGCCACCAGGCCCTGCGCATCTGCCCTTCAGACCTTGGCCAAACCCTCACCCTCGAATCTCCCACGTCCCACACTGGACCGGGATCACTTTGGATGAGAGCGGTCTACATTTTCCAGCAGGCAAGAAAAACAAACAGAAAGATCACCTGATGTTAATTTTGGGCCTATAGTTTATTTAACCCAAGAGATTTATTTATTTATTTATTTTTGGTACCAGGTATCAAACTCAGGACCTTGTGCTTGCCAGGCAGGCACTATGATCCTAAGCTATATCTCTGGCCCTAACCCAGTAGATTTAAGGCAGTGTCTGATCTTCAGTATGTAGTTAATATTTTAAAAATTCTTAGGAGAGTGTCTGTGATAGAGTACTTAGCCTGTGTGAGAGCCTAGGGTCCAGGCTGGCATTGCAAGAGAAATAAACAAAAATGTCTTGAATGGTTTCATATAT